TAATAGGAGATCTTGCCAGACGTAGTCACCTATCTGGACCCCACTTTGGAGCACAAGCTCCATCCTTATGAAATCAGAATCTTCTGACAAGCAGCATCTGTTAGGTTGCACCTGTGCTGAGCACGTCCTCATCACTCTTTAACCCACGACATCAACTATTTCTCAGGTCCTCATAATTCAGAAAGTTAGATAATTCTGAAAGTGCAGGAATAGCCTGTAAGACCCACATGAACAGTATCTTGCAGAAATCATAGATAAGTAACCATTATGTTTTCCAAATGTGTAGCCATGTGGATAACATTCTAGATCGCAGCTGTGAACTCTCTCATCTGGAAGGTGCTTCATAACAGTTTTGACACCACTTTACCAAATCTGATTATGTAGCCAAGTCAAAGGCATATTGTGACTGAAAATAAGATTGCTTCAAGGAGATGCGTTAAAAATTTCAAATACTTGGATGTTTCTGAATGGAGCAGACGGCATGTAGGCTGAATACCTATAGAGCCACCTTTGAAAAGAGTATCAGGCTTCTGAGTCACTACACTCAGCATAATCCACTGGAAGGAACAAGCCATCTTTCAGAGTGCCAAAGCACCAGGGCCCTTGAAGTGTCCAAACTTATTGGGAGGAGGGGAAGGAGTGAGGGGAGGGAAGGGTTCTCCTACAGGAATGGAGTCATGGGGAAAAGACTGGTAAATGGGTGTTATTTCAAATGAATGTTTAACTACTTTGAGAATAAATTTGCCATCAAAATCTTATCACTGCCTTCCCTCTATGAACTGCTGAGTAAGGAAGGCCATATCAGTTCTGAGTTTTCTGACCTTCTCATATACCAGTGATTGCATCTAATTGTATGGTGACAGGAAGTGATAAGGGACTGATTCAGAAAGATGCTCAGAGGCCCCACAAGGTCTGCAAGGGTACACTGAGATCCTGACATTGGAATGGATTCTCTCGCAGTAACCACTTTAGAAATCAGAACACCCTGCAGGGTGAAACCCCCCCAACATAACTATACAGAAAGATGGCATATTAAGATAGCTGCACGGTGAATTCTGATGGAACTGAATGAGAGCCCAGTCTTAACACAAATATAGTGAAGGATTTTTGGCACAGGGCCTTTAATGGGTCAAGGTTGGGTTGGGCTACTCCAACTGAAAAAAATTATTTTAGAGGAATACATTTTCTTCATTAATTAACTGCCAAGTAGAAAGCTCTCTTGTACAGTTTGTCTGTAGCAATCAAACAATAATATCCAGACTGACACAGTTAAGTGAGGTCTAGATAAATATCTGAGCTTTATCCTACAATGTGCCTAGACAATATAGAAGTAGCAGTGGCAGCTTTATAGACATTTTGAAATGTTAGCTAGATTTGTCAAAACAAAAGTAGGATTTAAAGATGGTTCCCAATCATCGTTAAGTTTAGCTCTTGAGCCTTATATCAAGCCAACAGCTGGAGTGGCCAAAACCCACAGGACACGACTGCATCTAAGATTTTGTTTTTTCAAGAGCAGGTACCAGAAAATCCATTTGTCTTTTGATGCAACTATTCTCGATTTTGAGGCTGAAGTGTAAAGGCCCAAGGGATGGAATACAGACCTGTATGTGAACCGAGCAAAGTTGCATCTTCAAATAGTAAACCTCTATTGTATTTTGTACTTCCTCACAAATCGTGCCAATGCCAGAGGCTTGCAGCCATCAAAGTTTTGCATATGTGGTCATAAGTCTAGCTAAGCATATTGGTTGCATTCATGGCTGTTTATAGTGGAGACGGATCTTCACGATGCAACCTTTTAACTTCACTCTGAAGCCTTATGAAAGCTTGGTTGCAAAAGAAGCTACCCACTGCCATGTAAGATGGTTACATTTTCTTTAAAAGGGACTGAAAACTGCAATGCAGAAGCAGAGATGCTAATGAGTAGTTGGATCTTTTCTTTAAGGGATGCTTTTGGTCAGCTTGTCCTGACATGGACAAGTACATACAAAATGGTTCAATCACCTTTTTGGGGTACCAGCTGTTTTTGCTAAAAAGAAAAGATATCATTGTAGAAGTTAGCCATAAGTTCTTGCCTAGATCCAAGATGCTCTCATGGATTGGTGGGTGAGCTATCCTAGCAGTAACAGACAGATGTAAAGTATCAAAAATGCTTTCTCTATGTTTCAAGCAAGGCAGACAAGGAACTCCCCAAATGCTTTAGTCATCCATCTCTTATTGCAGCTGACGAGATGGTTTCATTCTGGGAGAATGACTTCCTGATAGGTAACAGATGTTCTTAAGGCTTGAGTGCCAGTTACCAGTACCTGTTTCTCTTGATGTTTCTTCTCCAGACATTTGGTCATATAGGGGGAAGGTGCTAAAAAAAGAAAAGAAATCACGAAATAGCTTTAAGCACATGAATGCTGTGAAGAAAAACTCAGAAGATTGTTCAAAGGAAGCAAAATAGTACTTTACATTGCTAAAACTGTTTCAGGTGGCGTTAACCCAGTCATTTCCTTTTGTAGTGGATGTGCCTATTCTAAAAGGAATATCCCTAGTCAGAACTTACAGGGAGGAAAATAACACATCAATGGAGACATCTTCCAAGGAGTTGGTAGAGAAAAGTAACTAGAAAGGTCAAAAATAGGGCATGTCACCAATAGGAGAGATCTCGGTGTAGACAGTAAGGGATTCCATTGACCGGACCAACACTGAAGACGCTGACATCATTGTTAGTTGGCGATGAGACTTTTCTAGCTGTGGGCACAAGAAGGGACTTGCACTTGTCCAAAGCCACACCCAAGACTAAGCTTGCATCATTTTTCTATTATGTCACCAGGCTTACTGTTTCTGAAAACTTCCGTCCCTTAAGGCAGGGAAGACGGAGTACAGAGATCCAGGCCACTTTCAATATTTAGACCTTTCTTCCCTTGGTGAGGAGGCAGTTCCGGCATTTGGAGCCACATCCTTGCTTGCCAGTGAAGAAAATCTAATTGGTGCTGATCTTGAGAAATTGCACATTGGCTGACAGAAGCACTAGCTCAAACAAGTCAATTAGGAGCTGGATGAGTCACAGAAGTCTATGCTCCTTCAGGGTTTGACACTCCATTCACAAATTGTTCCAAAGGTAAAGATTAAGCATGCCCTTGATTGCCTTGTACTCACTGAGAATGACTGATATGTATGAAGAAATCTAGCACATGGCTTCCATGACGCAGGACAGACAACAACAGCAATCAAACTGCCAGAGGACAGACAGCTCAAGGACTTTTGAGTCTGCGGTTGTACAAACAGAGGCACCCAGCAAAAAGATAGTTCTTGGAATAGGACCAATATATAAAACAGTTAAAAAATTAACCAAAAAGAATTAACCCCAACTACTATACTCGTCAGCAGTGCCTCTATGACAGTCTTCCAGTAAATACTGTAAGACAATCCAATTAAAAGATACATGGACTGAGTAACGCTCATTCTGGTTTTGCCATGGGAAAGTACTTGGGGACATTTTGACTTTTTTATCCTTTATCCCCTTGAACAGAAAGGCATGAGGATATACATGGTGTACTCTAGATTGCTATTCTGATCTTGTGTGTAAGGGTACTGGGGAGAGCACATCAGGTGGGATTCACACAGATGAGCATTTCAAGGGAACAGTGATGTCACATGAACTCTTCAGTCCCCCATAAAGCCATCTAATTTTTAGAAGCTGTAAGAAAAACAGCTATTCTTAAGAGTACACATTTCTTAAGCAGAGCTTTATACTATAGTTTAACACATAGCTAGGTTTAGTATTAGGAGGCTACATGCAAACTAAACATACAATTTTTAATATTTAACATTTCATATTAGTCGTGGGATTCAACTAAAAGCTGCTAGTTACATTTACCTAAACAGATAGTAGCTAAGTTTTCCCAAGAATAAAGAGAGATGTTTGGTATTGATACAGTGAAGGCAGCATTTTTCAAAGCTTAAGTTCAAGACATTCTACAATTCTAGTCAAATGTATATTTAAAAGTATTAGTCCTCTTGGAAACAAGAGATTAAAAGAATGCACCATTTCACATGGGTAGTTATGCACAGTTGGAGTGTTAGGAAAAGGTTAACTGTTGACAGACTGTAGCTAACTATGCTTCTGTTATTTAAGAAGAATACTGGATTACAGCCATCAATCTAAGACAACAGTCCTGGAAGAGTCATGTAGAGTTAAGACTATGGCAAAATGATTGTAAATAAAAATGTACATATACCACACCCCATTCTAGATAGTCTAGAGAATACTGAATTTAACTTTTAATATGCAAAAATTATCAAGAGAAAAAATGCCAGTCTCCTTGCATCCAAATGAAGTGTAAGCATTGCTCTTACAGTAAATTGCAGCTATCTGTTCTTAGTATTTTAGTTTGAAGTGTTCAGAATCTAAACATTTTTTCAAATACCAGTGGGATGTAAAATATTACAGTTCCACTGGCTAGAAAACTACTGTTGGCGAAATCTGCTGAAAATATTTGTAAGATTTGAGAACAGGTTAAACAAAATTAAGCAATCTCTCTGGTGTTGAAAGATAGGATTTTACTACTTGTGGGTGCTGTTTTGAACAAAAATGATGTATGCATTAAAATGCATTAGTATTTTGAAGAAGAAAAGGATTTAGTATTCTTTTAACTTCTGCAAAATACAAAAGCTATGTGAATTTACACATTTCTGGCAGCCCCACATTAGCATCAAGCCATGACTATAGATTTATGCAAAGAAAAAGTCAAGTTTATTTTGTAGTAGCAATAGTTTCTTTTTTATTTTTAATATACTTTAGGAAACAATATACAAAGCTGAGCTCTTCCACCATTTTCAAACAGTGGGTTGCTCCAATTACACAAATTCAGCGTTTTGTGATGGTTAAAGAACAGCAGTCAGCACCAGACTTGAACAGTTAGCTACAACACAAACATCCTTCGAAATGAAATGTCATAATAGCAAGACAGGTAAACCAGGAGTTAACATATGACAACTGTTGGGGAGGTGTCTTAATCATCCTTGTTGAATTTTATATTTCATTAAATATTTTATACACAATTTCCTCTTTACAAGTTTTAAACAAAACCTCCCTTAAGGAATTATTTCAATTAAGTACAAAAGTATTCAACAAGAATAGTTCTGATAAAGAATCCCCAAACAGACCAAATTTTAATGTGTTGACCAAAGGAAATGAAAACCAGTGTTTTGTTTGAACATTTTTATTACAACAGATACAATTCACATCTGACTAGCTTTTTTTTCCTCTTTCCCCTCCCACAACCATGTTAACATGTTCATTGGGCTATTTCCTTATATTTGAGCAAGTAATGTACTTTCAGCACACATGCCCAGCAGTACTACAAGTCCATTCTTACAGGGTGCAAATGGAAATACGTTTCAATAATTTATACAAACAAGTGGGTTATGCTCAATCACTGCAATTTTAAGCTACTGTACACAGGAATGAAAAGATTATAGAAAAAAGTGCCATAGCAACAGTGCCTTAAGAAAGGAGAAAATTAGAAGCATTAAAAAACTGATAAAATCAGATTTAGGATTTTAGGGGGGAAATGGAACACAGAAAATGAAAAACATTTCTCTGTAAAACAGAAATGGAGAAGCACTGCTCTTGATTCGGTGCAAGTGTGGAAACAGTTGTTTCATGATATTTGTACATTACCCAAATTGTTGCAGCCTTAGACACAAATCGCCTGGCGCTCGCACTGAATTTTAGGAAATGCAAGATTTCTGAATGAATGATAAATTAACTAAAAAAGAAAGCTAATTTTGCAGACAGGTTTACATGTAAAAGGCTAGGTATTTAGCCACCTCAGCATTGATTAGTTTTGGATGTCTAAGCTCTGATACACATGGCTTCCCATGGCTTCACTCTACAAAACATATTTACAACGTGAAGAATACATCTACAAGAAATCTACATTTCAAGGGTTTTACAAATCATCCTTGTATCTTTCCCCTGAATTGACTCCCTCCTGTCCCCTTCCCCATGTCATTTTTTTCTGCCCAGCTCAACGGTCCAAAGTCTACTCAAATGCAGCTCAAAAATGTTAAGACTGGGCAACCAGTTTTATAGTTCCTGTACTCAAAACCATGTGCAATTATTCACAACTTTTCACACCATGAAGGAATTCTGATTCTTTAGCTTTTCAAGTTCTTTAATTTGTTGTCTCAAAAATAGTATCCTGCAAGACAAAAAAAAATAAAATTAGTGTAAAGAGTCATTACATTCAAAAACAATATTAATCTAAATCTTTAATATTTTAATAAAGGCATGCTTGAACTCCACCACAGTCTAGCCTGATGTTCATTTGACATTATCTGAAGTCTGGCAGACAGTTAAATCTCACCACAAGAAAACAACCAAAGAATACAGTTGCATACATTTAGATAAAATTTTTGTTTTTAAGAAAAAGGATCAAATTGCTGGTTCTAATGATTGATATCTTCACATTAAGCTTAAGGATATGCATGAACTAAATTAAGGCTCAAGACCTAACGGAACTCAAAAGAACACCTTCAGTACATGAATCCTGCAAAGAATTATATTATATCTGCATATGGTGCACACCTCTCCTGGGGGTTGAGGTGTAAGTCTTATCTACTTTTAATAAATTGTGTTCAGATATTTTCTTCTCCCTCAGACAGAGGAACGCCATGGCAACATATACACCTGAATCTGTCTTCTCTTGGGCACAAGAATACTGTTAGAAGCACCAGCCAGATTGCTCAACCTTTCTTTGTTGTTTCTCCCATGTTACGAGTCAACAAACTTGTATTTTCCCTTGGACAGAAGTTCAAACTGATATACTGGAAGAAGAGCTAGAGGTGTGCTTTCAGTTCTTTAGCACAACTGTAAAAGTGAGCTATACACCATCCCTATATATTAAATATATATAATGCTAAATTGGGATATAGCTATAGATAACCGTATGTATGTATGTATGTATGTATGTATGTGCCCCAGATCTCCACAGTGTGGGGTAGGCTACAGCTGCGGGGTGGAGCCAGAGCAAGAGCTGGTGCTGCGCAGGGCTTTTCTTGCCGGGGCCTGGGCTCAGAGCAGGTTCCGGCAGTGCTAGGAAGAGGCTGCAGCCACCCCAGATTTCGCTGCAACTCCGCTCCCAGCCCTGCGCCGCCAGCCGGCACAGCCCCAGCTTTTCCCAGTGCTTTGGTGGAAGTGGGGTGTTCAGCCAGGGCTGTGCCGTTTGACAGCACAGGGCTGGGAGCAGAGCTGTGGTGAAATTCGGGGTGGCTGCAGCCTCTTTCCAGCACTGTCAGAGCCCACACTGAGCCTAGCCTCTGGCAAGAAAAGCCCCATGCAGTGCCAGCTCTGGCTCCAGCTCCACCCCATAGCTGCAGCCTGTTCCATGCCATGCAGACCTGGGGTCACATGTCCTCCTGTTCCCACCCTCCCGGGGTGCAAACAGTGGTGGGAGCTGCCCCCACTCCCAAGCTGCGCCTCCATCCTGCCCCCCCCCCCCTCCACTGGACAGCGCCTGCCCCCACTCCCTCCCTCACTGCATTCAAAAAACAAGTGAAAACTAAGTACTGGCATTTTCTGAAGGGTAGCCCGAGTCTGAAAAGGTTGAAAACTACTGTCCTGTAGCAATGCAAGTGAGCTTCAGCTCTGAAGGAGTTAAATTTACTGTGATTTTGTTCTGACAGATGTTAACATTTACATTACAACAGCTTATGTTAGTATCATTAGATACAGATCTAATTAAGTCTTTATAAAGTCCTAGCCAGCTCATGTGGTTTCAACCCAACATCTCGTCTAGTCTCTTAAAAAAAACTGCATATCTGGTCCTATTCATAAGAAATTTTCTATAGGTATCTGCGTGGGTAGTATGCAAGATATACACATGGAAGATCGCTTCTGTATCTGACACAGGTAAACATGCTAAAACTTTAATTGCCATCAAACCAAGCTTATTTAAAACAAGATACAAGAAGGGATAAAATTAAGGATATGGTGAAGATCAGTATCCAAACTCTTACCTTTGCTCACGCAAAGTTGCTTGAATTTCACATACTCGAACTAAAGATCTTAAATTTTTTAATTCAGTACAAATTTCTGACATATGAACACTTCCCATATTATGGGCTTCCTCACGTAATCTTGATGCCTGCAAGAGTTGAATACAAAATTAATTTGAAAGTTAGTCCTGTGATTTTGGTCACTTCCTAGAAGAAACTGAGCACAGTCTGAGGAAATGTAAGACCTATTTCAGTCCAACTGAAGGATAATTCAGGAAAATTTTATATTCTGCGCTATACTCCTCCCAAAAAATGTAACTGTTTTGCACCTGGCAAAGGGTCACTCGCTTTCAATTCAATTACAAAAAAATAGACAAGTGTATGAATTTAGGATTTAGTTTTATAAAGCATCTTAAATTCTCTAAAAAATGTATTTACAATCAAAGAAATACAGAACTGGAAGAATGTTCAAGAGATAAACTAGTTCAGTTCCGTTGTACTTAAAACCATCTCTGATAGATATTTGTCTAACTTGTTCCTAAACACCTGAATGCCAGGGATTCAGCAAGCTCCTTAAGAACAGTTACGCAATGAAATGGGTTCTTCATTATTTAGCCTTTTCCTAAAACAGCTAAATTTTGATTGCTGCCAATTAAGCCAATTAATATTTTTCACACCCCTGGTGAAAACAAATTAGCTTATCACTGTTCTCTTTTTAACAATCTTTTTAAACATTGGAAGACTTGCATATAACTCCTTAGTGCTCTCTGCTCTAGACTAACCAACCCCAAAAATCCTTACAATCTTTCTTCACAGGTCAGTTTTTCAAATTTTATTTGTGTTGCTTTTTTCACTTCCTCCAAATACACCTGGTTTCCACAAGAAGGATAGCCACAGCTGAGGCCTGGCCTTACCAAGCAGAGCAAAATAATTACTGTCTTACATATAACATTCTATTAATTCATCCTGGAATAGCATTTATCTTTTCTGCAACAGCACCACATTAAACTCATTCCATTTATAATATGCTGTTACACTTGCAGTCTTTTCTGCAGCACTGCTGCCAAAGTACAGCATTTCCTCACATACCACATGCCCCAAAATAAAACATGTGCCTTGTTTTGAGAAGGTAGAATAAAGAAAAAAAAACCCTGCTCACCACCTCCACCTGCCCCAAGTCAAGGCTAAAACCTGCTTGCATGGAGTGCCTCATTAGCCATCAGTCAGATAACTAATTTTAACCCACTCATTGCTGCTGCTGAACTGGAAGCAGCTTCTAGCTGCTTAGCAAAACACTGCTGCCATTTTAGCAACAGTTGAGAGAAGATTAAAAAACAGGGCCAGGCCCTGCTGAATCTGGCAGGAGAAATGCAGAGCCCTCACAAGCCATTGATAGTGGCCTCATACAAAAATTCAGTTTCTCCTCAGCTGCTCTCCCAGGAGAAACCATAAGTGTAGCTATATTCAGGCTTTTTCTCCCAGGGTAAAAATGGCCACACATCAGGGGAAAAAAAACCTGGAAAATCACTCCCAAAAGTGTTTCTCCTAGGACACTGAATGTCTGCACATGCCATGTTCTCTTCTCTCAGAAGAGAACATAGTCCTCCAGCTTTTCCCTCTTCCCCCAGGGAGACACTGTTGCTTGTTGGACTCTTGCTAAAGAACACTTCCCCTTCACAATCCCCACATCGTACTGCAGGGAAACACAGGCTGACCATGGGCAGTTCGGGTCAGCCAGTCAGGGCTGCCCTATGCACTATTGCAATCTGTTGCCAAGCACACTAAGGAAGCCTGCAGAGCATGCCTAAATGGGTCCACAGTGGTGCCCCTCCTCCATGCAGATCTTGGGGCGAGAGAAGGTGAAGAAGCAGGAACCATTTTCATTTTACTGTGCCTCCAAGCTTCTATTACAGACAGAAAAGCAGCTGCTCTGCTTAAGTCAAGCCCCCCAATTTTAGAGGGCTGATTTTGGGGGAAGATGTACTGAAGTCAAGTTGACCAAGCAAATTCCTCAGGTCCTTTTACTTTACCCTTTACCTTCTGCTAGCCCTTCTTCACCCCTCTAAGACTTCTCTTATCATTCTTTTTTTTTTTTTTTTAATTATTGGGAGGTGTTATAAAAAGGAAAGTAAAAAATATAAAAAATATGGTCAGAAAAATAGGGTGGCAAACCTGAAGAAATAATCCAAAACAAATGTCTGAAATGAAAATCAAATAATTAAAAGGAGAAATACTGAATGAGCCTCTAGGGGTGATCATAGATGGCAAACATCATATATGAATTTGTAATTTATAAGGGGGCAGAAAAAAGGCATCTTGGACAACACATAAAGGAAGGCCACAACCAAATATCAAGCAAATTTTACAATTTGAGAAATATTACTATTTCTGCCACCAGGAATTAATGGATAAACTAAGTGTGGGGGAGCAGGGTTGGAACAAAATAGAAAGAGCTAGACAGAAAGACACTGGCAAAAGGTTAAACCAGCTGGGTATATATAGCATGGTCAAACAAGACATGATAATCCACTTCAAGAAATGCTAGGATATAGAAAGGCAGATCTGTTTAGAAATGGTACTGGAACCCATTGGCTGCTGCACCAAATATCCTTTAATGACACTATGCAAATACAATTATACTTAAAGAATTGTAATATGCGCGATTCCAAATTTCTTAAAACTCCTCCCTCATACTTCCCTTTAACATTGTCAGGATACCGATGAATTAAAACGCTACTTGATGCCTTGGGTATTTACATTTCTTCATATGTTCAGATTTAGGCTTAAATCTCTTAAATTTCTAGGTTTACAAGTATATAAAGATTATGTCATCATCTGTAATATCTAACCCTTTAAGTTACTAAAACACAGTTTGACCATAAAACTGAGTGATTAGTCTTTAGTCTTAAAACATCCCTAGATTTTTAAAAGTTAAAAGATTCTTTAAATGAGTATTACTTAAGAAATAAAAAGAGTACTCTTGTAACAATTCTACTGACTTTATTTTGTGCAATACCAACCATAACCATTTAGTGCATTTCCAGTGTAGATTTACCACTACACCCAAGCAGCAAGAAAGCTGTGACCACTAAGGCCAATTAAGGAAGATCTGCACTCACATCACAGCAGGGCAAAGTAGCCAAGATAAAGTGGAGATTCCAGTCTTTCATTTACAATTGAGTATTTCTGAGGTTATATAATGGAGAATGGTACCACATGAAAGAAAAAGTTGGAGGGAGATGAGTGTGTAGTCCAGTATTTATTTATGGCAGTCAAGCTCAACTAATACAGTCTTGCCCTCAAAATTTCCTGGCAGCAATACTTCATTCAGTGCACGATGAAGACAAAATGACACTATAATACAAAGCTTTTTACAATATTGATGCTTTCAGGTTCCTCTGCACCAGGAAATAGCCTGCAGTTCCTATCCTGTAATACTTCCCTGTGTATTCACTAAGATGCCACACTAAAAGTTATGATGCTTTTACTTCCATTTAGAACCAAGAATTGTAAAAAGAGGCGGGTGGGGAATGACATTTCAGCCAAAGTTTTTAAATAAATCTCAAAAGGTACATTATTCAGGTCACTCATTACATGAACTGATTTGTCTGAACTTGACAATCCATTTGCTGCTTGTAATTCGTATGTCCTGATTTCAAAGCATTATTGTAAAAAAAAGTGGAATCAAGATCATGGAAGAAAATGCAGGACAGAGACTTGACCACATGTATGAATGTACTATGGAATTATGTATGAAAAAGGCTGCAGGGCCATATCTGTAGGATTAGAGAAGAAAAAGACAACACTTCTTTAAACAAGAGCTCACTGCACACCAGTGCCTTTGTAATTTGTGCACATGAGTCTGGATAGGCATTTTTATACAAGTGGTAATAAAATAAAAAAAAAAACTGATACAGGGCTTAATTGCAGAGGCTCTACTGTCTTACGGCTATAGCTGAACATTCACGGGAATATTAAAATAGTTAAAAAGGGCTGAGCATAGAGAAAGATGACATTCAGATGGTGATTAGGTAAAATGTAATTGAAGGAGTATTCCATACATCATCCTTTACTCTAAAGCTCAAGACTATCGAGGTTTCTCATACAGTC